GATGTAAGATGGTAGGCCCCTCTTCTCTTTTAGGGGCCGTACATCCCCCCGGGGATCCCTCGGGAGCCCTCTACCATCGTAGGTCCCTCTCTTCTTCTCTTATCTTTTAGGGACCGTAGGATAGGATAGGATAGTTTACATCCCCCGGGATCCATCCCTTCGGATCTACAATAGGAGATGAATTTAATAGGTATATAGTGATAGAATCCCTCGGGATGTTAGGTCCATCCCCATCCCTACGGATGCCTGCCTCTCCGATAGTACACATATATCCTATTAATAAGTGTGTTTTGAATAATATAAATACTATTTATATAGATTGAATAAGTTAGGCTAGACATCATTTAGACTTGTACAAGTTATCCCCGGTAGGACTTGAACCTACATGCTCAAAGAACATAACATTTTAAGTGTTACACGGCTACCGATTTCGTCACGAGGATTATAATCAACTTATAAATAAGGGTCGTTATCCCCTCCGGGGTACCCCACTCTAGTCTTTCAAAGAGTGGGGATCCGAAAGGATGTAAGATAAGATCCATCCCTTCGGATCTACCATGCCCTCTCAGAGAGGGGTCCCCCACTCTTGAGTGGGGATCCGAAAGGATGTAAGATAAGATCCATCCCTTCGAATCTACCATGCCCTCTCTCCCCGAGAGGGGTAATAGATATACACCCACTAGTACCATCTATCCTGACGAAGTTTCCGACGGCGTCATTGTAGTGATCCACGCTTAGCATCAGTATACTTTTGATTCCAATCCTTTTATTTCTAGTTGAATAGTTAAATATCTGAATATCTAGTCTACTCGGTATAAGACTAATGGGGGCCACTATCAGTCCGTACTCTCTGTATCGGTAGACGGAGGCTCTGACATCGTGCATAGCTACACCCCCCTCTCTCAGTCACTTATTTTCTATTCACCCATCCTACATTGACAATCTATTGAGCCCTCTGATCAAAATACCTTTAGTTTTACTTAACTTGAACCCTGGAGGGGTGTAAGATAATCTAAGCTATCCACTACCTGCCTCACCACCTCTATACCAGTCAATACCCTATCTAGATAATATTTTGAATTAGTAGACTAAAAATTGTTTAGTTTGTTGTACAGCTTCTCTATGGTAGAGTGCAAAGAGGGCTAGCTTGCAGCTCTCCCGAGGGTGGGGTACCCCTCTCTCGGAGAGAGAGGGGATGGTAGAGGGCTCCCGCCTTCAGGAAGGATGGATGTTACATCCCTGCTTTCGGATGGTAGGTCCCGGGGGGACCTTACACGGTGGAGGGTCTCCCCTGGGACCCTCCTACACCTTCGGTACCCCCTTCGGGGAGAGGGGATGGTAGAACCATCAGGAAGGATGGATCTAAGGTATGCTACATCCCTGCTTTCGGATGGTAGGTCCCTCTCTTCTTTTAGGGACCGTAGGATAGGATAGGATAGCTTATGTCCCCCTAAGATTGGGGGATGGTGGAGGGTCTCCCTCCTACATCTTCGATACCCACTCTTTGAAAGACTAGAGTGGGGTACTCGAGAGGGGGCGTGTAGGAGGAGTGGTGGATGTCAGGGACATCCTACACCTTCGGTCCCCCCCCGTGCTAAGGTAGGCTAAGCTACGGGGGGGTGTCCTATCTTATCTTATCCTGTCCCTTCGGGGTCGTGGAGGAGTCCTCCTACATCTTCGATACCCGCGGAGCGGGATCAGGTGTCCCTTCAGGATGATCCCTCTAAAATCGAGGGGACTCCCGTAATCCATGTATATCTATCTACTCATAGGTATACCATCTATCTCTATAGCTACTACCTAGCAAATTAGCCATCACAACTAGTAAATCTACAGTGACCAATGAATTGATTGGTCACTGTTACCCTGTCCGATTATCTCACTATATCCTTTTCAGCTAGGCTAGCCAAATGACCAGTTACTGCCTAACACCCAATTAAGGGACTCTACTAATAGCCGTGGGCACTAACCATACAACTAAACCAAAGGATTCTTAACCTTTTTATAGGTGTGGTGAGGGAAGTACTATGCCTTTCTAGGAATATCCATATAGCTATGGAGGAGTATATAATCCCTACTTAAAACTTAGACTAAAGTCCTTATCGCTACTGGGCGTCTGAGAGAGTGAGGCCCCGAGACCTTTATGGACTACGGGAATACCATTATGGACCAGGGGTCTTACACCCCTGTTATACGAAATCACTAGCAATTCACTCGGCCCCACCTCCATAGAGTTCTCATTCCCTGGTATAATCTTAATCCTAACAACCAATCTCATACTAAAATACCCCTCGTTGGACAGAGGTTTTAGATAGGACTGTAGCCGTCTATCTATAGACACGGACACCTGATATGAATTACTTGTCTACATGTGTACACATCTCCCTAAGGGGTTAGAATTACCCCCTTAGATAATTGCTCCTTCACTCTCCTAGGGTAGAGGTGCTAATAGGGGGGAGTAAGATATCGGGGGAATAGTTGCCCGCAGGGGTCCAGCAAGCGGGAATGGAAATATTAAAATCCTGTCTACAATCCCGAGGGAGTCCAAAGTCTGTGAGTATAATTATCTCTGTGTATATCTAGTCAGTAGTCTGAGCTAGCCTTCATCTACACTAAAATCGTTAGTTAGACATATCCAGTAAGTTAAGTAGTACTATAGAAAATATGTGTGTGTTATATCCTTTCTAGTTTAGAGAGGCCAGGGACCCGGGGAGGAGAGGTGTCCTGTCCCCTTGGGGTTATCTGTGTTGGAGTTCAGCTAATGTAATCTAATCTAAAAAGTGGTGGTGGAGGTATGAAATAGCCTGTAAGATTTTAGCAGATAGTAACAGCCTATATGGCCACTAACGTGGGGCATCAGCGCATAACGGATGTAGAATAGCTACTCACATTTTTACAGGGGGAGCTCTTTCTCAACATACCTGAAGTATTTATCTACTTTATTACCCTACCAACCCCGAAGGGACAGGACGGGCCACCTCCCCGTAACTAAGCCTACCTTAGCACGGGGGGGACCCTACTAGATTTCAATAAAAACTACATGTGCCCTTGTACTCTATCTCTACTATTCCAGCGGCAAAAGTATACAACCATCTACGGAATCAGCAAAAAGTCGGTACCGTGTACCACGTTGACTATAAAAATAAATTGACCAAGTTAGTACGCGCCTAGGACAAAAATAGATACTCATAGGCGTCCATCTTTATAATAAATGACTTAGAGCAGGCGGTGTCGTGTAAACTAGTTGTTTCTAAGAGTCATTCTGAAATGGATCCAACCTTAGCTGGTCTAAGCAGACGTCAGAGGAACCACGGGGTAGCTGTAGAGATCGTATAGACTGACAATGTCAGCGACGAAGCGCTGTACACCAAACATTTTCCCGGTTTACGCGATAATAACACCACCATCGAACCTACTTATCTCTCTTCTTATTTTAAGTTCGTATGGGGTTAGTACACTTATGGTATATTGTACCGTTCCACCTTCTTCTACACGTCCGCTCCCTCCCTTCGGGAGTGGCATAGCATCGTGGAGTGTGGTTGATGTCTGAGCAGACATCGTAGCTTATCTAACCCTATTTACATTAAAAAGGGATATAATAATATACCTATGTGACAGGTAAGACAGATAGATGGGTAGACCTAGACTCTGTAGGCATGGACGGATATATGTCTATAAACACATCTCCGGGAGGGGCAGAGGCATCCGAAGGGATGCAATTAAATATCAGAAGGGTCCCTGCTCCATCGCCTAATAAAGTTCA